TTTTCGCTTGGATCGTAAGACAATTTGATCAACAAATCGATGAAAAAGGTGACCTACAAAAATATTGAGCCGTTTGGCGTAACCTGCACTCCCCAAAATATAAATATATATATTGTGGGTAAATGGTTGATTGTCGTGAATAATGAAGAGAAGAATAGTTGGGATGATCAGTCAGAAATAAAAAGGCAAAAATAAATGATAATATTTATTTTGACTTTTGCCGACGTTTCGACCTGAAGTTCAGGCCTTCATCAGGGCTAAGAAAATAACCAGATAACAAGGTATGAGAAACATGAGTAACGTAGATAAAAAAAAAAATTAAAGTAAAATGAAGTTGGTAGAATAATGACTAAAATCAAAATCTTAATTTACTATTTTATTATTATTTATCTCTTAGTTTTTACTATTGTCATTATTCTACCCACTTCATTTTACTTTTTTTTTTTTACCTACATTATTCATGTTTCTCATACCTTGTTATCTGGTTCCTTTTTTAGCCCTGAACTTCAGGTCGCAACTTCGGCAAATGTCAAAATAAATATTATCATTTATTTTTGCCTTCTTATTTGACTGATCACCCCAACTACTCTTCTCTTATTTATATATATATATATATATATATATATATATATATATATATATATATATATATATATATATATATATATACTAAAGATAGAAAGGGGTGTTATTTAATTAATTTCTGTTTTATCAATTTGCAGAGAAAAAAAAAAGAAAAAATATTACGTGATAAGATGAGATAAACTTCTATTCCGCAAACCGTTTCCATTCCGTGCATGCTCGGAATAGCCGGCTCGTCCGTAACAAAAGATAATAAAAGAACGAGCTACGTGAAATATCAGAGATGTAAATTCAAAAAGAATAAATGGAGCTTTATCGGAGGAAGGGAAGGGAGCTGGCTGGGCGAGGAGCCAAGAACCTATCCGCACGCGAGGATTGATTCTGCGACCTGCCAGGGAGCCCTTTGGCATTGTGTACAGTGTGTTCAGTCGGATCAGTACTCTGTTCTGTCCTCAATCGGATATCTAACGAACCTGCCGACCTCCAAGTCGACCGCCGCTGGTCGTCGTTCAAAGGATCTCTGTCCACTTAATAGTGCGCACTTAATCAGCTTTAGCGAGCGAATTTAACTGCCGCGTTTGGACCATGCCATTGGTTGTTCGGAGCAATCTGTCCTTCGTCGGATGTTATAATCTATGAATAACAATTCGGTATAAATTTTCAATTTTTATTCCTCATTAGGTTACTACAATAAAATACCAAAAGTCCCGAATTTTTGTTAGGCATATTTGCAAAGATAGCGTTAAAGAAAAGTGGTGGGGACGGAGCTTCCTCACGTGAATGGAGACATGGCTACGTCATGATTGTATATATTATACTTTCAGGTGAGCGTAGTATTCGGGGGCATGGACCGCTTTTTATCACTAACCGCTTAATAACATCAGCTATCTGCGTAAATAGCTTTATCTCATGATAATCTACATCCACGTGCGGATCTACGGGGGGAGGTGGTAAAATAATAAAATAAAACCATGTTTTAAGGGATTTAAGGGGGAGAGATATTAAAAACTTATCTTTTAAAGTATTATTGTTTGTATAATTACAGTTAAAGGGACTTCAGGAATCACTTAAACACCATTTCATATAGTTTCTTTCTTTTTCTTCCTTAGTAATTATCGTTATTTTTATGAAAAGAAAAAAAAAAGCTTGGATCCGCTAATGCCTACAACTATTTTATTTACGAAAATAATCGAAATTGGAACGTTTTCAATCTGGAGATCGGCAAACTTTGTCTATTTAATTAGGTATTAAAAACTTGCAAATACCCATTTGCTTTCTATTTCAATCATAAGATAATTTGAGCACAAAATCGAGAAAAAAGATGGCCTTCAAAAACATTGAGCCAGCAGCCGTTATAGCTCAATCGAGATTTTTTTCATTGTAGTGGTTATAATTTAAAAAAAAAATCGAAATATCTCTTATTTAGCTGTTCGAGAGTTCACGCAGAAGGGTGTGGGAAAACATTTTTTGCGTTTTTATTTTTTCTAACAGCATTAACAAAAAAAATATCTTAAATTTGACTTTCAATAGAATTAAAGTGATAAATAACATACATAATATTGATATTAAACTTTTGTTATAACAGAAAAATGTTTATATTTAATTAAAAACTTGAAATAAAAGCGCGTTTCGTGGAGGTGTGGTGGAGACAACGATAGCATGACAAATACGATGCTATTAAATTTTCTCACGTATTCACTATGTGATTATCCAATTCTTTAAGCTAATGAAATGAATTTTAAACTGAATACTTTTATATAGGGGCGATAGGATGAGAGAAAAATGGAAAGATATTTCTTAGATGGGAAATTTATGCTGGAAACACTATCCTAAGCTAAAAAGTGAATGCTACACAACGATATGAGCTAGGCGTTGGCATGGAATGACGTAGTTATGTCTCCATTCTCGTGACTCCGTCCCCACCACTTTTCTTTAATACTAATTATCTTTGGTAATATACATCAGAAAAATTCGGGATTTTCCACGTTTTAATTATCATAAATTAATCTGCATCGAAGAATAAAAATTTAAAATGCACCCAACTATCCTATTTAAAGAAAAATTAATAAATTTGCGAGGAATTTATCCTATGGTAGTATCGACTATAGGCTAGGAAGCCTCGGTCCTGGAAGATGTTTCAAGATACCTTCCCCGGTATATTCGGGAGATCAGGGGACAAGACGAAGCAGACACGCTTAGGAAGGAATACCTCGAAGAGACTGGATCTTGTATTAAGTCCCTTCCTCAGGAGTTCGTGCATGCCTCAGATATTATTGGGCGGCTTATCGGCCCAAGTCCTCCACTACTATGGAATTTACCCCAGCCCTGAATAGTTCACATTTATCTCCATATTTTTACATAATTCGAATTGAGATGCAAATTATTAACAGGTTAATAATTAGTAATTTAAAAATAGGATTGGGATTGAAAAAAAAAAAAATACTTCTAGTTCCATCATTGGAAAAGTCTCGAAATATTTAAATTTTGTGTTATATAAATTATAAGTATTTTATTTCGTTCATTGTTAAATATAATGTCAGAAGTCGCCACTCTTTTCTTTGCCATGTGACGTTTGGAAGGAAGTTTCATTTTTCTTTTTATTAATCCTAAACACAGGCGGATCTACGGGAGGGAGGGGAGCTTTCGGGCTGAAGCCCCTCCCAAAATGGTAAAATATAACCATGTTTTACAGAAAAAAATATTAAAAACTATCTCTTAAAGTATTCTTGTTCCTGTAATTACATTTAATAAGACTTCAGGAATCACTTAAACACCATTTCATGTTGGTAGTTAATTGTTTTTCTTTTTTTTTTTCAAATTAATTATCACTGTATGTACATGAAAAAAAAATCTTTCGGGCTGAAGCCCCCCCCAAAAATTAAATCATGAATCCGCTAGTAATCCTAAATCTCAACAATTTTTTTCCCACTTTATAGTTCTTATCCCTATTGAACAGGGCAAGCTTCTTGCTTTAGAATCATACAAAATTGAAACACTATATTTGTATACATACAATATGTATCTTATTCTATCTTAATATCAGTGTTAATATATGTTATACAACACCATTGTGTATTGTATAACATATATAAATAATTTGTTTTCTTTAAATCAGTTTTTTTCTTTATTTCTGCTTGCAATTGTTTTCTCATAAAATTAATTTAATGACCCTTCCTGATTGTATTTATTTATTTTATTCCTATTTTAAACCTCTTATGCTGAGGTAATGCAATATTGTGATCCCGTTCCTCATCTTATGTCATTAATATAAGTCAATTTTTTTTAAAGGAAGAAGATGGTCCGGGGTTGCGGTCATAAAAAATCTAAATATTGGTAAAACAATTTTATTGAAAGCCAACGTTTCGACCCGACTTGGCAGGTCTTCATCAGAGAGGTGTGTTCAGCTAGGAGTTTCACTTAATTGCAGTTTCACTGAAGTGCAGTTTTAAGTGAAACTCCTAGCTGAACACACCTCCCTGATGAAGACCTGCAAAGTCGGGTCGAAACGTTGGCTTTCAATAAAATAGTTTTGCCACTATTTAGCCTTTTTATGACCGCAACCCCGGATCTTCTCCTTCCTTTATAATGCAACGGTCAACTATTAAATATTCAATATGAGTCAATTTTTTTTATTTAAGTACTTTTTCATATTTTTTCTTTTCTGGAGGTTTTGCTTTTTTTTTTCTATACATGTAATTCTTTTTTTTGTTATAAGTATAAGAAAAGAGTAAAATTATAAGTATAGTTGAGAAGATTTTATTTTTTTTTTTAGTAATTCGCATACTATTATTTAAGTTGTGCATATTCTTTGAATCTTTATTAAGTTGGTTTTTGGACAGATGTGTATTTTTTCTTTTGTAACTGCTCATTATTGTTATTCTAAGGGGACATCGTCCCGCAATAAAGTTTATTTTCTATTTTTATTTTTATATTCCGATTACAAGCACAATTTATTTGACAAACTATATAAGCCTTTTGACTATGGGATTAAGCTTTAGAGTTCCACCAAACCGTCAAATCCTCCCGTGTCCAATCGTTACAATCCTAAATCCTTGTAAGAAAACTTAATGCTTTTTATTCGTTCAGACATAAAATTTTATAAAGACCTCAATATTATATTTGTTGTCGATTTGTTCCGAAATAGACATTGATTTAATTTCAAATTTCTCATTCTCTGAAACTCTCTTATTTTCAACGAGCCTTCACAAACTATTCCCGACAACACTACGGTGCGTCTGGAAAAGACCTCCTTAATTAATCTAGTCGATGAAGTGCTATCATGTGGTACATTCTTCAAAATTAAAACATTTAAGTAAGGAAGCCCAAAAATTAAAATGGAAATGGGCTAGGCATCCGCCATATTATTCTTGTTATCCATTATGTTTCTTTCTTTACTATAGCCATTGTTTTGTTGACAGCTTATTGCATGACCAGCGGGGACCTGCCTACCCTCTGCAACGAGATCACCGGAGACGCCACCTTGCTCTCCATGTTCCGGGTTGACGCGGCCGGTGTGACATGCCCGTTCAAGTCTCCTCCGTTCTCCGTGGTGTACAGCAAGGGTCACGGGGACTGCGGCTTCCCCGCCTCCACGGCCGAAGCTTGTACCGACGACACCCGACTCGTCTTCAGGTTCCAGGCCTGTCCGGACATCCACGGAACTGAAGCTGCAGGTAGGTCCATTCATAGTAAATTATATTTTAACTATTTTTTTCTTAGTGTTCCTATCATAGCTGTCAATAGAAGAAGGTGGTTACTCCAGTCTTCCATCTATCGTTGATGTTAACTATTATTTATGTCATTATTCTTAGAGAACACTTCTTCATCATCCGTATGAGTGGGCCAACGCCTGTGCACAGCACCGCGTTGCCCAGCAAGTTAAATTGGTAAAATAATTACGAGTTCTCTTTCCGATGCCGGGAGGGCTTTTAACTCTGACATTAATCTCACGCATATAAATAAATGACACTAGAAATAAAAATAACCTAGAAGGTGAGAACAGAAAAAAAAATTATGTACAATATAATTAATGATCTTCAAATATAAACAAAAATTTCAATAATAGGAACATAGGGCGTGTTAAAATACTTGGGTATCTACTTCTAAGCCTTTGCTTATCTACTTAGTAGGCTAGATGGTATGACTGTGTTTTTATGTTTTTTATTTACATATCTTTAGGTTATTTTATTTTTTATTGTACAAAGTTTTTTATTATTATTTAGTTATTATTTTACTTTTGTTCATTTTATATTTTCGGTATATATGGCGTGAATGTGTTCATGTATCACTACAATTATTGTCCGCGTGACAGATTATTATATTTCTAAATAAATAAATAAAAGTGGCCTAGGAGCTAAACGATATTCTCGCTCCCTTTCTAATTTCATATTAGGGGAGTAGGTAATCTTCCATCTCTTCCGAATTCTGCGCCCATTTTATAGGCGACATTTTTTCTCAAATTTGTGAAAAAATTATCTCTTACGATTCAAGCAAAAAGCTAATGGGTGTTCATGAGTTTTTAGTTCCTCATCAAGTTTACCGATCTCCGGATTCAAAACGCCTCTATTTCGGGAATTTTCGTAAATTAAAATTAAAAAAAAAAGGTTACGATAAAGGTCATTCGTGAAATTTTGAACGTATTGAAAATTTGATAAAAAGATTTCGGTACCAAGGACAAATTTGCATTGACATTAAAAAAAAAAAGTTCTTTGCCGAATTTTATATGTATAATATATTGTATTAAATAACTAAAATTATAATTTTTATTAATATCGTAATATTTGTCCCATATAATCCGACCAGAAAACTACTGAGGATGAACTGCATTGAGCTACTTACTGTGCTCGTTTATTAGTGTTGCCCAAATGCGAGACCTTTACGAGTCTTGGTCTTGGTCTTGCGCAAGAGTCTCACAACAGTCTCGCAGTTAATTATTAGCTTATTACTATAGAGATATTACTGTAATTTTTGAGATAGGAGAAACCTAACTAAGCCCGAATGAAAAATAACAGGAGTTAAATGCAAAACTATATTGGTTATACCAATTATTAACATATAGTAACTAAGATTGTCAAGTATTAGTAAATATTTTGTCTTAATTTTTATTTAAAAAAAAAACGATTTTTTTTACCAGTCCTGGTCTTGGTCTTGGTCTTGCAACAGTTAGGTGACCTTGGTCTTGGTCTCGCAAAGTGCAAGACCACGACCAACTTTGGGCTACACTATCCTTTATTATTATAAAAAAAAGTAATATGATAATTTCTCTTTTTTTAGAATAAATAACAATAATATAAATTGGATTCAGTTTTTAATCCAGAATCTAATAACAAATGCTCGAAGTTATAGAGGAGCTATTTGAATTTTTCACAAGAGCTGAAAAATCTAATTAGGATTTCGCAGATATTTTTCAAACAGGGGCTTGGAAGAATGACAAAATATTTCTCCAGTATCCTGGAAGGTCCTCCCAGACATGACAAGCCCACAAGTTTGTAGGTTCTCCGGCAGTGGTACATGTTAAAGGAGTTTCTTGCGGTTAACCGCACAGGCTGCGGGATTCCTGGCCCTCTTACTTCTGAGAATGGCTAAGGGAAGGTTTTCATCACGTACAACCTTATAATACTGACATCTTTGAAACTTTTCCAATCCGCTGTAGAAATGATACTGGAACGTAAATATCCAATTGAGGACTTGTGAATCGATTAATTAAATCACGGTGACTACCAACTCAAAATGTTGATAATAATCTGGGAGCTCGTGGCAAAAAAATATGTCATATTTCATACTATGGTTTATCGTTATTAATTGACCATAACCGCAGGCTTGATTAGAAAAATGCAAGTCTGTCAGTATATAGCCGCTGGAATACAAAATGGCGACCAGATGAAGATAGATAGAGACACTAAATAGATAATAAAGACTTTTACAATATCTCAATTTTCTAACTGTTCTATTTGCATTATCTTAATTTTACTATTTATTTTCATTTCTTATATAACTTCGTATTCCTTTTTTTTGTTTTATATTTTATTCTAAGGTTACCATTTTAATACTTATATCACTTTTTTTTATTACGTCTACTTCATCACTCCACACTTTGTACGGTTATTATTATTTATCTCTTAGTTCTTACTACTGTCATTATTCTACCCACTTCATTTTACTTTAATTTTTTTACCTACATTATTTATGTTTCTCATACTTATTGTTATCTGGTTCTTTTCTTAGCCCTGATGAAGGCCTGAACTTCAGGTCGAAACGTCGGCAAATGTTAAAATAAATATTATTATTTATTTTTGCCTTCATATTTCTGACTGATCACTCCAACCGTTTTTCTCTTCTTTATTATAATATTTTATCGTGAGTGATAAATGTACAGTACGCAGTCATTATAAAGTTTTTATTAGTGCCAACGTTTCATCAAAACAGAGTCCTGATGATGACCCACATGTTTGCGTTGAAACGTCGGCACTAATAAAAACTTTACTAACTTTAAACTTTACTTCTCTTCATTATTCACGACAGTCAACCATTTACCCTCAATTATAGATAATAAACGTATATATATATAGAGAGAGCATACGGATATAGAAAGCTACCAACGCTTTCAATTTATAGTAATTACAGTCTTAAGATGTGAAATCATAGTCAGTTAGCCCATACCCGTGGATTTCAACTCGAAAAATTGAATTAAGATTCAAAAATTTTACTTTTTTCGGTTTTTCGCTTATATCAGTGAAACTATGCGTTCTATCTTGAATAATGTCATATATAAAATTTAAGCTAACAAAATTTTCAATAGAAATGGTCATATTTGTTTTTTCGCTATATTCTATATTTTCCGTGATATCCATACTTGTAATTCACTAAGTTCGAAAAAAAAAAGTTTTTGCATCGCATTTTTATCATTATTTGACTCCCCAACTCTTTATTCTTTCATTTTACGAAAAAGTCATACATAAGAAAATTGTTTAATATTAAATTTTCTGTTATGTACTTTCTTTTTTAAAATTTTGTTGAGGGTATTGTCATTTTAGTTGAACGTTTTATTGTTTTGTGTTTCTTCTTGATTCTCACAAATCCCATTTTATAGACTCTCGTAAACCAAAAATAAAATTGTCTCATGCGAAATGGCGCTTTTAACGTTACTAAACTAGTGAGCTTGAGAGAACTGTGCTAAATAATATACCTACTTTTTTATGTGTACCGGTATAGAATACAACTTCACCTTTAGCGCCAACTAAGCATATATGATATTTTTGTTAAAGTTTAAATGTCATTATTATATCTCCTATTTTTCGATTCTTCGGATAATGATAATTAACAATATAATTGTCATTTATTTGGCATAAAATGACAGTCAAGAAATAATTAAATTGCTCCGTAATGTGACCTTAGAATTAAAGGATAAGTATTAGTAAATAAATAAATTAATAAATAAATATCAGTATATTTACTGTAAAAATAACAGTAAAAGGAGGCTTACTTCACTAAAATACGAAAATTGTATTCTTAAATATTGGGTTGGCAAATAAGTCCTTTCGGTTTTTCTGTTTATTTTTATGTCACTATGATACACTTCTTATCTGATGAATTAATCACTAAGGTGGATTGTTTGTCCTGTTTGTAATGTGTCAACAACTATATCTGTTAACTCTAATCGAAACCAGCTTAGTATTGTGTTTGCTATTGCACTGTGAATATGGAAGAAAATATCATTCATTATCGGCATATTTTGTTGTATTATTTTAAAAAAGATAAGCGTGCTGCAGAAGCTCATATAAAAATTTGCAGTGTTTATGGGGATGACGCCTTAACCGAACGCACCTATCAAAATTGGTTTAAATAAAAAACTATAAAGAGTTTTTGTTTATTTATTCTGTATGTAGGCAATAAATAAAAAAAAACACATTCATACGGCTTTGAAAATCAACAATACAACTTTCCAACGGATATAATAACATCGAATTTGGAGAATATCTTGAAGAGTTATGAATGATCGAAAGGGTGTTGTGTTCCATCAAGACAACGCTAGATCCTCCATATTCACCAGACCTAGCTCCAAGTGACTATCACTTATTCCGGTCCCTGCAGAACTCGATGAATGGAAAAAAATGTCTAAAGGAAGAGGACATCAAAAACCACTTGGATCAGTTTTTAACAATAAACTGCAGACATTCTGTGAACATGGCCTTATGCAGTTGGTAGAAAGCTGGAATTTTATTTTTTTGACCAAGGGATCTCAAAAGTTAAATAAAATAGCTGAATTTATAGGCCTTGTAAACCAAGTAGGATGAATTTAATATTAAAACTAAACCTTGTTGTTGATACGGCGCGAACTTCGCCAAGGAAAATTGTCCCTCGAGATCAACTGACTCGGAGTTGGGTGTGTGTCAGAGTTGATTAAACTTATAATTAGTTTTAGCATGTTTGATATTAGCCTTGTTCTGTCGGCCCTCGAACACCAATACTCCTGTCATCCTCTGACCGATGTCAACTCCATGGATGTCGAGAGTTCTGCAGGTAGACGCGGGATTGGATGTTTGCCCTCTAATATTTTAGCTGGAGTTCCAGTCACCTCTCCAGTGACCTTGAGCCAGAGTACCAATCTTTACAAGAGTTTTCCCATCTCAAGATCACAGGACGCACACTTGTAACATTTTTTTTTAGCTATTTA